GGATGGGTAAAAGACCATTTTACCCCTGCTTTGACCCACCTTCCCCCTTACTGGACCACTCATGATGTCAACAGAAGTCTACCTGGGTCAACATTCCATGTTGACCTGACTCGCCGAGTGCACGCCTGTGACTCGCCGAGTCCACACGAATTCTCCAAGTTCTTCCTAGGGTTCACTCAACTCACTGACTTGACTCCCAACTCGATGAGTTAACACTGGGTCAAGGCTACAAGGTCAAACCCTCTACGACTCGTCGAGTCATCCCATGGACTCGGCGAGTTGGATCCATTGGATTCCTCATTTAGCCTCCTGAGGGCAGATCTGTAACTTAAACTTATAGATCCAACCTCCTACTACCCAAAAGTCACGTAAAGGTCCAATATTGATGTCCATGTATGGTGTATTTTGCATTATAAACCATAAAAACTCCATTAATGGTTCCTAGCTCCAAACTCCAATGGTTGCTCCACCGTGGCTTCCCACTTTCGGACTTTCTGGACCCTCCAAGGTTCAGATCTATGCTACCAGCTCATAAGAGGGGTTTGATGCATTCAAAACCCCACCAAGAAGGTAATACAAGCCCTAATCCTCAAAAGAAAGATCTACTCAAATAGGGAAGAAAAGGGGTCCGAATTGATACCTCCAACTGATGCTCCTTGATTGTAAATCGCGGATCTACAACCTCCTCTGGCCCCTTTAGCTTGAAACCTCATTCTTCCTTGCAAAACACCCACCAAGAAGCTCAAAATGGCTCTCTATCTTGCCCAAAGCACTCAGGACTCGTTTAGGGTTCTCTCTTCTGAAGGGTAGCCGCAATAGGTGGCCTTAAGTGCCTTTAAATAGGTCCAGACCCGAAAGAATTAGGGTTTCTGCCAACAACGCTGACTCGGCGAGTCATCCCTCCGACTCGTCGAGTCCATTCATTTTCCACGTCACCCAGACGCGACCCTACTCGACGAGTGGAGGCACCAACTCGTCGAGTCACCCCAGGCAAACTCGTACTCACATATAGAAATGTTATACCTCAGAAATCAGGATGTTACATGAAACCATTGAATCAACAACATAAATGCTTTATGGTCTTATTCATGTACGATATATTTTAACAACCAAGGGATTGGGTGTTGTGTTAAAAAATTGATCTTTAATCTAAATTTTTTAATTTTTTATGTAAAAGCAAAAAATATAAAATGAAGTACTATGAACCTTTTGGCAACTTGATAAGTAAGTTGCACATGTTATCCATCCATTTTAAATATTTATAAAATGGTGATTTTGTAGGTTGTTTAATGAATTATACCTTCAATATTTATTATATTAGGATATTCTACTTTGAAAAACTTCTCCTGTAAAATTAGTTTTCTTTGTTGTATGTATTATAGCATCCTACTTTCATTTCTTTCTATTTTAACATTCCACTTCCAATCTTTTTTTCTTATAGGTGCATTGTACTATGAAATATTTGGCCAAAAATGACATTGCACATCCAAATTTATCTTATTGTTACATTACATATTGAAAAAATATATGCAATTATAGAAGTTAAAATAGCTTTGTATTTTGATGAAGTTGTTATAATTAGCTGGAAATATGAACCAATATAAGTGTCTTTAATTTACTGCAATCACTAATACTATAATAGCATTAAGTTATGTTAACCTTTGGGCAATTACATTAACATTTGATTTGTGCCTGATGAATATTATTACAACATTCTCTGTTCAATATCATCATTTTTACATTTTCCAAATATGCCCTTCTACTTTTTTTATTACATATTTTAGTTTCCTACAAGCATAGTCTGGAAGCTTTTGTCAACTTAAATATCCTTTTGAATCGAATATGCTTGCATCAAAAACTTTTCAGTGGATGCCAACTATAAAAACGGAAATGATGTGTTCATGAGAAATTGTTTGTATGCTATAAGTAAATAATGCATTGTTTAATTAAAGTTTAATAATATTAACTTAATATTATAAAAAATGTCATATTTTGGGATTATATCTGTCTAACTTTTTCTTTAAAGATACATTTATTTGTTTTTCCATTTTTTTTGCTTCTTCGGTGTTTAAGTAAATAATGTTTTGACCACATTTTGGCCTAAAGTTTGATTTTCAAACGAAATTAGACTTCAGTTGAGTATCCTTATTATATTGACCTGTTTAAAATTTATAGGATCCGAAGATAAAAGAGAATGGACTTTCGAATCGGCAAGCAATCTTTAAAATAAGTGAAAAGGTTGTTTTAAATTTTCTTGGTATCTTTAATATATACATTCTTAAATTTTATTGGTGAAAGTTTGAAATTGAATTAATTTACTAAGAGGTAATATGAAGTTATCTTATCCTCTATGACATCAAGAAAAGAGATTTAGTTGTTGGTGGTTAGTACCACTATTTTTATATTTCCATCAATTTTAGCTTTGGTTCGACAATTGTTTTGTTTTTTTTATTTGTTTCAACCTTATTTACATTTTATCCAATTTATTATCCTATACCCATTTGTTGCCCCTATACCAATAGGGAAATAAACTTACCAGTATCTTTGTAAATTAATAAAAAAAAAAAATTTGCAAATATTTAATTAGTCATCATTTCGAATAATGAATAATATTTTTTTATCAACCGTGGTTTCCACGGGTTTTAACCTAATAATAATAATAAATTGTTAAAAGAAAATGAAAAAGAAAAAGGAAGAGTAAGTTAGGGGCCGTTTGATAGTTGCTAACTGAGTTAGAGCTGACTGAGTTAGAAGCTGACTGGGTTAGAAGTTCTGACTGTGTCCACATCTGACTGAGTTTATGCTGTTTGATTATTTTCTGACTGACTGTGCGAATGATGCAAAATGACCATATTACCCTTATGTTTTGCTAGATAAAATAATTATACAAATACAAACTGTCACATAAAATCTAAATAAAACATACATTATTTAAAATCCAAATACAAATTGTCATACAAAATCCAAATTAAAATAAAAAACAACATAATAATTTGCATAGATATTTAACGTTCACCATTTAAAAATAGTTGATTAGTAATCTAATTAGGCAATGAAAAAAACTCTAAAAAGTATGTTAGGCAAGAATGCTACAGCAAGGGCATTTTTGTCAAACGTGTGGCAGATTATTTTTGGGCCTATTGTTGGTATGTAGTCTTGTGTGGGTTAAAATCAAAAGGAAAAGTTTCTCAGTGATATTTTGGTCCATCTCCATGTAAAGATCACAGGCGCCCTGAACTGTAAAGAGACTGTAAAGAGACCGAAGTCAATTTATTGCAGAAATGGTAATGTTTGATCCCGTTGTTTCCAGCGTCTCCTTCTAGCTTATGTTATTTTGCTCTCTTAATTTTTGGTATGGTTGCTGGGATCACGTGATGCATAGGAACCAACAAGGGTAGTTTTGTCACATGGAAGGAAGATTGAAGATTATAAGAATGATGAACTTGTTCCACAGGAGAAGGGAAGTAAGGGCTGCTGTCAGCTGCCCTAACAATTTCACTGTAAAATATATCATTAATCCTAAAGGAGATTGCACTGATTTTTTATTGGTGCCATCCTCAATTTCTGCCTTCACATCAAAGCAAAAAACGAAATCCCAAGAACGAAGGAAGAAATAAGAACGAAGAACGAAGAAGAAACGAGAAGGAAGGAAGGAAGATATTACCTGTTGGTTGATCGGTCATGTTGCTTCAACGATCCCTTTTCTCTGTGGAGGTTATGAACAATTACGTAGGGTAAACTCCGAATACGCATAACTACGTCCCAGTCCAGCGATTGAGAGGGAAGGACCGAATCAAGTTTTTTTTCTTGGACCGAGTCTTATACTTGGACCGAGTCCTTAATTGTAAAAACGAAATCAAACATTCTGATCCATCTTTTTTGGACCGGCTCCCCTGTTGGACCCAATTAGAAGCATAAACAAACGACCCCTAGTCTTTTTGTATGAAACAAGGACCTAAACTGTAATATTCATAAACCATAGGGATGCAACCTATCAATTTTTTAACTTAGGGAGCAAAACTACGAATCTAACCAAAGCACAAAGACCATTTCTATAGTTTATTCTAACTTTTTATCATCCAAAATAATATTATCGCCAAAAATCTTATTGTATCATGTTATATAGTTCACTGGGTATAAATTATTTTGTCATGCTATATACCATGATTCTCATGTTCAGTTTCAAGTTTGAGTTGTTTTCGGCTAAATTCAATGTCTGGTGGTTTTCTTGTAGTGTTTGAAGCATATATTTAATGAATGGGCACATGTGCTCCTCATAGGCAAGGAAACTTGGTGTATCCAAATTCAACCACTCTATACAATCTTTGATTCTTAAATGACTTAATAATCATATTAAAAGACATATCAAATTATTATGAGGTGAAATAATTACTCTTAAATGACCAAATTTGAAATATGTATATGGGTCAGTGACGACAGAGACAGAGACAAAAGGAAATGTCATGGGTAGCACACGTAAATTTACGGGTTAACATACCGAAAAAATTATACTACACCAAAAATATTCTCAATTTTTTTCACCGCGCCTGAAAATTTGAGGGATACCACGGACTACTCTGGACACCTACATAGATCCTTCCATGATATGGGTTTTGGTTTGATTTGGTAAGTTAAAATTAAAATCTGGGTTGATTTTCAAACCAAATATTTTCGAAGGGAACCAAATAAAACATTAACTCATAACTATATTTCTTATCATACAAATATATTTGAAGTTGGTAAATTATATTTTATTTTATAAATGAAAACGAAAATAGTGAAACCGACTTTGGATTGTAAAGTTTGAGTAGTTGAATAAAGTTTCAAACCGAACAAATCAATCCAACTCAAAAGACCCAACTTGGAAGCATTTTTATTTTAATATATATATTTATTTCCAATTGCCAAAGAAAAGAATAGTGTCAAACTGTAAATAACTAAAAGTACAGGGATCAAAATACAAAATAACCCCTTTCCAGAAATAAACTTCAAAACTTTTATAGATTAGGTTCAATTATTCCACAATCCTCTACCCTCTCTATATCTCCACTCTGCATTGCGGCTAGGGTTTCACCAAACCCTTTCTCTTGTTCACTCTATCTTCAAGAAACTTGTAGGGTTTTTGTGAGTTAATCGATCTGAATTAGACATGACGACTACGAATTGGAATTAGGGTTCTTATCTGTTGCAAAGACTGAAACTTTGTTTCAAAGGGTTCTGTACGAGTGTAAGAAAAGAAAGGAAGAGATGGCCACCGCGAACCCTTTCGATTTGCTCGGAGACGATGACAACGACGACCCTTCACAACTTGTGCAAAAGATCGTTTCTGCGCCGGCGAAGAAAGCTCAACCCGCTGCTCCCGCCGGTAAAACCGCAGCGCCGCCGGCTAAGCCTTCGGCTAAACTTCCCTCTAAACCTCTCCCTCCAGCTCAAGCCGGTGAGTTTTTGAGTTTATTTCATTCGTTCACATACCTTTTTTTTTATGTAAATACATGTTTTTTAATTGGATGATTTAGATTGTTAAATAATCCATTAGTCTTATTAACTATTTTTCAACTCGATTCAATTTAAAGTATGATTTTTTGTGCTTGATGTGTTGATATATCCATAGTGGAACCAATATGAATGGATTGTATGCAAGTTATAACGATAAAAAATAAAAGGCCATTTTTTAATCACAAATATACATAAAAGATGTTTTGTTGTTAATTTATATCGATTATTTCAACTTGAAGTTTATAAAAAATTAACAAGATTGGAGAAGCATGGAAAAGGGTGTCCGGATTTGTTTTTTTAGTGTTGAAATTCTTTTAGTGGATGCATATGAAAAGATTGTGTGCATATATTAATGATAAAAAGATTATAAAGCCAATATTTTTCTAATCACAATAAGCCATAGGAGGAGTTTGGATCTTAATTTATATCTATTATATTGCAACATGAAATCTATAAAAAATAATAAGATTTGGGAAAGAAAACATCAAAAAGGGTGTCTTGGTATGTCTTTTAAAGTGATTCTTCTTAATAGTAACTTTTGATTTTGTTGAGGCTGGCAAATTCTCATTACTTAACAAACTAATAAAAGTGTATAAATTAGGGATTGTAGGGGTAAATAAGTAATTTCACTTTTCCCCTTTAGTAATTGATTTGATTTCTTATCACAATAATCTTATAGTATAATCTTATAATTACATTCAAAACAAAGAACAAAAATAGGTTATTGAGACAAATGTAAATTCTTTATGATTCTTTCTTTCTTTTGGTTTGAGCAGTGAGAGAATCAAGAAACGAAGGTGGTTATGGAGGCCGTGGTGGTGGTGGTGGTGGCGGCGGCCGTGGGTATGGCCGTGGCCGTGGTGGTGGTGGAGGATTCAATAGAGATTCATCAAACAACGAGGCCGGTTTTGGTAATCGTGGATTTTCCGGTGGTCAAGGTGGTGGTGGTGGTGGTGAAGAGGCGGATGGTAAATCTTTTGAGAGACGTAATGCTGGTAGTCTTGGTGGTTATGGTGGTTCCCGTGGCGGTTACCGTGGCGGCCGTGGTGGTTCTTTTGGTAATGGAGACTCAGAGGAGGGCGAACGCCCTCGCCGGACATATGAACGCCGTAGTGGGACCGGGCGCGGGTAAAACTTTTTATTTACCCTTTTACCCTTTATTATAACATTTTACTTTAATATTTCTTTTTTCAAAGTACAATGCTGTAATAGGAAGAAATAAAAGAATAATTGTATAAATTTTTTTTAAAGAAAAGTAGATTGCTATTTATTGCATTTAACATTTTTAGTTCATGTTCAGGAATGAATTCAAACGTGAGGGAGCTGGTCGTGGGAACTGGGGAACACAAGCTGATGACATCAATCGGTATAAATTTTTTATTTATTTCACTTTTCGTATAATCTTTAATTTTTATTAGTTTTGTCTTTTATTAAACAAATATTTTTTTTGATAGTGAAATTGAGGAAGCAGTGATTGAAGGTGAGAAAACTGTGGTTTCTGAAAAACCAGGTGCTGAGGAAGAAGCAGTTGATGGGAAGAAAGAGAATCCTGCAAATGAACGTGTGGAGGAGCCTGAGAATAAGGTAAATAAATAGCAATTTTATTTTTTCTTTTCTTTTTAAGAAATATATTGTTAAAAAGTTTTTGTTTTTTGTAAATTAGGAAATGACACTTGAAGAATATCAAAAAGTTCTTGAGGAAAAAAGAAAAGCTCTTGAGTCACTAAAGACTGAAGAAAGGAAAGTGGAAGTGGACAAAGAGCTTGCATCCATGCAGCAGCTTTCCAACAAGAAAACCAATGATGATGTTTTTGTCAAATTGGTAACGATTTTTATTTTTTAATCCCAATTTTTTATTTTTTTTTATAAAAAATTGTAACTAAATATTGATTTGTTTTATAGGGTTCTGATAAAGATAAACGTAAAGAGATTGCTGAGAAAGAAGAGAGGGCTAAAAAGGTAACATTGAGTTTTATATTTTTATTCAAATTGGTCGAAATTTTGAAAATGACAATTTTACCCTCGATTGTTTTTTTTTGTTGCTTAGTCACTCAGCATCAACGAGTTCTTGAAACCCGCTGAAGGCGAACGATATTACAACCCTGGCGGCCGTGGCCGTGGACGTGGCGGTGCTAGAGGCGGCGGCAGTGGTGGTGGTGGGCGGTTTAACCAAGGTGGTGGTGGTGGTGGTTCATCAAACTATGCACCAGAGGCTCCTAAAATTGAAGACCCGAGTCACTTCCCGACTTTAGGGGGCAAGTGAGCTGCCCGCTGCCCGCCATGATGATTTTATATAAAAAAAAAGTTTTATTAAAATGGCGGGAATACAAGAAAAATAATGGAAGTTTTTTTTAAAACTTTCATGTGTCAGAAAAAAGGGTTGCTAAAAACTTGTCACGTTTTTAAATGTTTGATTTATTGGTTTTTCCTATATGCTCTCTACGTGTAACCTTTGTTTTGTCGTTTATTTTGTGAACCTTTTCAAGTTTTTTTTAGAGATTTTGAGGCATATGGAGACCAATTAATTTGTGGGTCAAAACTCAAAACGCTTGTTTCTCAGTTTTGTTATGAAATAGATAGATGACAATTTTTACTTGTTTCTTTTTATTGTATTTTGTTATATGCTTTTATGTTATGGTTTCCTTTTATTGGTTTCTTTTATTTTGTTGATAAATGATGTCTAAAAATATTGCATATATGTGAATTGAAGTATACTGTTTGTTTGTTAAGGTCATTGAATGGAATCCTTAAGCGTTTGTTTAAACGAACATGAACAAAAGTCTGAATTATATTAAAGCTATCAAAAGTAATAAGACTAACATAACCTTTATGTTACCAAATACTTCAAACAACCTCTTTGGACTTCGATAGAAGTCTTTATGGATAAAATGGTTGAATGGTGATGTAGATGTGCTATATACATTAGGTTTGTTTTATAATATTTATCCATTTTAACAATATTTATAATTTTATACTCTAGAAGTTAGGAAGGAAAAAGAAGAACGAATAAGTGAAAGGTTAGTGTTTTAATAATATATAGTTATCAAAATTAAGTATTTAATCCATTAAGGCATTAGGTAAAAAAGAGTCGGCATTTTAGACATGTTATTACTAAATTTATCAAGTTAAAAAGAAAATATCATGGATTCAATTGTCTTGCGACTCATGGTATAGTATCTATCGATAATTTTGGGTTTGTTATATGATGTTAACGATGTGATTGTCAGTCTTGTTCATTTGATATGATTAGAATTCGGTGGAGTCCATCTTTAAGGAATGATATAGAAGATGTGCGATTTGGTGTGTGGGGATCGATAAAATAATTGGCTAAAAAAACAGGTTGAATGAAGTTAAAATATGCCAAACATGTTGAAAGTTATAGAAAAGGTATAAAAAATGTTTATAACTCTTTAAATCCTGTTATAGAAAAGGTATTAAAGGAGCGGGAGACTTTTTCCATTATGTAGATCTTGACATCTTTATAAATAATAATAATAATAATAATAATAATAATAATAATAATAAATAAAAAAGATGTTGATGGATCGACATGTCAATTCAACTACTAAAAAAACTAAATTTTTTAACTACCAATTTTGCTAGTCAACTAAAAAATGAACTTAAGATTAATGAGTCAAACCAAAAACCAAAGAATAAAGTTTATTTTTATAGACTAATTATTTTGGGTTAGTTGGTGTGTTTTGAGTTCGGTTAATTTACTGTTAAAAACTATAATATTATTTATATTTATATTTTTATTTTTTATAAATTAATTATTTTGAAACTCCAACTTGTATTTTCTTTGTTAAAAGCATGGCATTTATAACTTTAAAGACGAATCGGTCCAAAATAAAACATTTTAAAAACATTATTAAGTATATTTTTAATATGTATGCTAAAATTTTGTGTGTATATATATATATATATATATATATATATATATATATATATATATATATATATATATATATATATTTAACTAAAAATCATAATTAAATAGGGAACCAATAACCAATCCTCAGCATCTAAATTCAAACAACTGACGACCAAATATAAAGTTGTATATTTTTTAGTTGGACGTGTATGCATAAGATTATAGCAAAAATTTCACTTTTTTTTTTGGTTTTTTAATTTTAGGACTTATTTGATTATCGAAAATAAAGATGAATATATCAAAATTTAAATTTTTTTTTATTCTCTATAAATAAACATTTATATTGATGTATATAATTTTTTTTTAATCTTAGGCTAGAGAGAGTGGTGCCACAAAAAGTTGCACTCCCTTCACTGTCACATAGGCGACACGTCAACAATTACCACAAAGGAAAAAAAAAAACATTTAAAAAAAAAAAAAATCTCACAGCTTAATTGGAATGACATACGAAAGAGATGAGCACTCCCTTGGAGTGCCACACTGCGGTCTCTACCGCACCAAAACCACAGGGAGGGGGTGGTGTTCCACGCTGATGTGGCAAATGAGTGCACCCTCTACCGCACCCACTCCTTCAAACCTTACAACTGATTCAAATTCACAGTGTGAACCTGATCTGTGTATAATTAAATCATGCACGTTTACAATATGAATCTAATTAAATGAGATTCTAGTTAAATGAAATTGATATGTATGGATCTCATTAAATATGTGAATTTGGAATAAATTTGCAAGAGATGTGACCATTGTGAAGTTTTTGGCCATAGCCGCACTACTTGTCCCATCCATGTGGTTCATACATCTAGTTCAAATACGATTGAGCTAACCACCAATGGCGTGGATAATGATGACTTCCAAATGGTTAGAGAAAAAAAAAAAAAAAACTATCCCTAAGAAGATAGTTTCGAGGAGAAAAGTAAACATAAAGCGCCTATTATAAAAATGTTTCAAATACCATTTCGAAATAGATTTGAGGCCCTCTCAAGCCAAGGGGATTCATCTTCTTCAAATAGGTCTTTCTGGTTAAATCGACCGGAAAGACAGTTTGATTTGCACAAAAAAATGGTCTTCCCGGTAAGATATGTCTGTCCTAAAAAGCCACAAACCATATTTTTCTGGATGAATGAGCCGGAAAGACAATTATGTCCAAAACTTCGTCTCTTTCTTTCTTGTATTATTATTATTTTTTAAAATATTTATTTAATTTCTTTTTTATTGGATTATTACTTTTTTACCGGATTATTATATATTAATAAATATTACTTATAATATATAATATTTATATATTAATAAATATTACTTTATTGGATTATTAATTTCTTTTAGTTATTTTTTTAATTCATTTTTGTTGGATTAGTTTTTTTTGGATAACACCACCACCATCCTAATTTATTTTAAAAAATATCATCCATCCCACCACTATCGGACATAAACCAGGTCAAGAATCACACGTTAGGTTAAAAAAAAAGGACTAGAAAAAATAACATCAACCTTAAAAACAATAACCTAAAAACAACCTAATCAACATTCTATTTGAATTTGAATTGATTTGTGTTTACTTACCTTGTATGACAATTTGTATTTGGATTTTAAAATGATTTTTGTGTAATTTTGATTTTGTATGACAATTTCTATGTTTTTATAATTATTCAGCAACTTCATCTATCACAATATAAAACATCAGGGTAATATGATCATTTTTCATCATTCAACATAATTAGTTAGATGTACAATCAAACAACATGGTTTCTTTCACAGTCAGAAAACTTTCTCATACAACATTTTCCCATAAAACACTTTCCCAGACAACAACTATCAAATGAGACCTTAGTGGAAAATGAAAAGGAGGTTGAGGAGGTTCCCTCTAACGATAAAATTTATGGAATCAGATTGTTAGAAGGAAAATATTTTGAGCATCGTTAAGACTTGTATGATTCCGTTCTAGTAGACCAAGGATAATGTTGTCTTTTTTACTTAAGCTTTAGTTGTATGATTTTTCCTATATCCCTTGTCTACTTACGTTCTAAAGTTTGGCTTCATGGCATGTCCCTTACGCTGAAGAGAGTGGTAACACTCTTAGCACACTGCCACATCATTTTTTTATGCAGTCACATCATTTTTTTTGTTGCCACCTCACTACCATGTTTTCTTTGAATTTCATGAAAAATGATAGCACCCCTAGCACATTAGATTTATTTTTGATTTTTTAAAAAAAAACTTAAATAAATTATATTTTTATAAAACACAAACATTTAATATTAAATAAAAAGTTACAATATATTAAAACTTAAAATTCGACTTAATAAATTAAAAACATGACTTAATACAAAAATTTAAAACACAACCTAAAACATAATTTAAAACTAGATTTAAGACATAAATCCTACTACTTATCCCAATTATATTGTTTTGCAATCTCCGCTTTTGCATTTGCCACAATCTGAAGATTCTTTTCGGACAACTTCGCTTCATTTTTTAGAAAAAAAAACTTTAGCACACGATTTCTTTCTCTTTCCTTTCCCACTTCCAAATATTTTTCGAGCTTACTGACCAACTCTTGAAGCTCGTTCATCGTCGCCTCCATTTCACTCGATGAACTTTGAACACCTTTTAACTTTCTTTTTTGCTTTATCTCGTCCCATAGGACGAGTTGACACTTCATATGGATCATCGTTGTTCAGGTCAATCTGGATATGCACATCAGAAGATTGACTATGGATTGACTCGGAAGTTCAACTTCGTTTGGACATACTCGCAAAATCATCAACACTTTTTAGAGCATCCATTTTGGTTTGTTCTTCACAACTTCCCAAGACGTTTCATTCGCAAAAGCTCTATCGACTTTTGCCTTATAAATTTGACGAGCTTTTGCTATGACATCCACCTCATTTGCACCGCTTTCGGGTTGCGAGTCACATTCATGTAGATGTCATTGAACTTCATTGAATTTTTGTTTGCAGTCCTCCATTTCAAGTATACTTGACTAGTAAAACGACACTCCTTATCCATTGAATTGAGTTTCTTGAACCGACTCAAACGGATCAAATTCGGAATGTGGATCGTGTATGGTTGGGATAGGAAAATTGTTTGGGGTTAGGGTTGGAAATATATGGTATGGGTTGAGATTGGAACTGAGAAAAGTATAGATAAAGTGGATACAATTGTGGAGTCATAGTCAGATAATAGTAACTAACGGGTGAATGGATGGGTTGATCGAGAGAAAATCGATAACAATGTTTGGTGAAGATGTGTTGCTGGGGTTTGAAGATTGTTTTTTGTTTCTTCTTGGGGTTTTGGTTTGGCTAGATAAAGACATTATATTTGGAGAATTGAGAAGATTTTTTAGAGAAAGAATGATATTATGTGTGGTGAAATGTTGAGGTTTAAATGTTTATTTATAGTGTTTGGAATAAATTTTGAAAATTTGACTTTTTTATAAAAAAAATTGAGTTTTAAAAAAAATTGGTCAAAAGAGGGATAAATGCCTAGTCAAAATTCAAACACCTCGCAACGACCAATTAGGGGTGTTCGTTTGGATGGATCGGCTCGATCCGATCCAATTAAGTAAATCCAAATTGATTTCGGTCTTCAAAAATATGGATCCGAATAGTCCAAACTAAATTCAAATCCGATCCGATCCGATCCAATTACAATTCGGTTGGATCAATTT